AGGTGTATCTTAATGTTGTGACTAGTAAAGGACCATTGATGCAGAGTTAATATATATGTTATAATTTGGCATGAAGCCTGTTTAGCATGTGGTATTTATTTTACTTTAACAGGGACTCTTCAACAGTCTATTCAAATAAAACTGGCATAGTTTAGTGGGAAAACACCTCAATTAAACCTATAATTAACTGAAAAAATATAATGATAACCATAATAAAATGTATAAAACACAGTTTTTGTGAAAAGGGACATGAATGCTGGAGTAATTTAACAAAGATGTAGTTGGGTAACAGTCACAAATTGATGAGAAAATGCTAATACATAGTAATGTGCAATCTTGGGTACCTTTCTAGGAGTGCAATTAATTTAAGTTCAGAAGCAATTTTAAAAACCTATCCCATCTCAATTCCATTGCCTGGAATTAAGGAGCCAAGTTACAACTCTTCTGGTTACATTTGTGACGTTTGGACAGTTTCACCTTGATCTTCCAGATTGTTCTGTAGTAACCTTTGTCTTGCCCAGCAGTGAATAAACAACGAAGGTAATCACAAATGCAGAGATGATTACTTACATTCAACTCTTTTCTCCAGCATCGCCAGTCGATTTGTGACTTCTGTTTTCAGCTCATTTATTTTGAATGCCCTGCAGAACACAAGCTTAGTTTAGAATCTTGTAAAATATTAATGAATTTACATTTTTAGTGCATTAAAAATGATAAGAACCACTTCTGCTGACATATCTAATATTTTTCAATACTCATTTAAGAATTGTTACTTAAGAGATTGATGAAGGTCACTACAGAGCTTAATAGTGAAATCCCTTCCATATTTTTTCTCTGAATTCTTGAGTCACAATATAAACAGAAGTAAATTTAATAATAACACTACATATTGTCATTTTCCTATGAAGTGATTCTATCACAGTGCCAGACGTTTTTAAAAGGTCCAAGTTTTACCTTCTTCATTAGAAGTATTCTGTTATCCATCCCCTGCAATAATAATTATCTGTATAAAACCTACTTTTGAGTATAGGTGCAAATTTATCTTTTCATTTTCCAGTTATGTCCTCATACCAAACTTTATTTGAAATAGCTACTAATGTAAATATAATTGATACTCTTTAAAATTCTAAAAGCCTTAATCAAATCTTCCCTTTCCACTCTTCTCATCTTTATTATCCCTAGAATATATATCCCTGGAATCCCTAGAATAGAATATTCTTGTTCTTCTCTGGATTTTCTCTATGATATCGAAGTTCTTTAGGTAAATTTTTAAAGATGGTTATTACCTTCTATCTCAAAATCTGTGAGTATTTATTATAATTGTCATTATGTTAGAAAAGCAATCTATTCTACACAGCTTAATACAATGATGCAGTGATAAAGGACAGCAACTGAACAGTCCACAAAATCCCTAGGTTTAGATTTTGTTTAAAGTGAGTACAGCTAATTTTTTTATTTTTTCAATTATGAAATCACAAACATTAATCTATTATTAATAAATAAATGTATACCCACACACACACACAGCATAGTCAGTTTTATAAAGGTCACACAATAGCATGGATCTAAGTATTAACCTGTGGGAAAAATGTTCTGACATGTCTACCTGTCAGAATCCTTCATTGTTCTCCGCAATCTGTGCCCAATGGTGCCTTACAGGAGAGTTAAAGATGATCAGAAGAGTGAGACATCTCCAGATGAAGTTACCTTGATATTACAGGCACACAGAAAATCCCAGGGCCCACTGTGGTGTTAAAAGTTGAAAGAATCCTTGTGGACTCAATCCCACTTACCAGCATTCAACTGCCATTATCTGGGAAATCTCGGTTATAGTCAGTGAATGGGCTTTGTAAAAGTTTGAACTAGCAACATCTGTGCTTTAGGTTCACTTTAAGTCCAGCCTGCACTGTGAGCCACTGCCTTTACTGGTTTAGGCATTTTTGAGTCTTAAATTACACTTGATTCACAAATAAGTCAACTGCAAGTGCTCAGCATCTGCATGTCAGGTATACACTGATATAGTTCACACAAATACTGAAGAAATATATTTTCACCAGTGAGCATGTACATGTCTAAAACAATGTTAAGAGGCAGGTCCAGGGATATTAGAATCTTGTAACATAATGTATGTACCTGGAAAACTGTTCAGCTACCTGGGTCAAAACATTTTGAAAGAGTTCTTCTTTATCTGAAAAAAGCAACATATATATCATATACATAATCATACATATAATCAATAACATACAGCAAATAACCTCCATATTGCAGCAAAAAACTTTGCAAAGCCAATTGCAAAACACTGATATGGATACACTGGGCTCCCAAATCTTAATAAGGAATATACACAACAATAAATTACTGAAGCTATTCAACAGTTCAAATAGCATGTGTTATGTTGGATATTGTTTACACAGAACTTTCACATTGATCAGTCTTTATGTTGGGCTGTAATAAGAAAGTAGTGCATATGGTGACACACATCTAACCCAGCAGGCATGGGATGGCAGCCCATTATAGGGCACACACTCACATCCACCAGCACATGCTGAGATACCAATTAACCTGGACAGCATGGACTGGAAGGATACCACGAAAACTCAGCACAGAAGGACTCAAACCCAAGACCCAGAAACAGTGTCAGAGCAGAGATGCACCCATCACACTGGCTGCAAGCATTATTAACTTGCAGTGACTAAGCATTAAGTAAGCAAGCTTTCATTACTTGCAGTTAAGTAGTTTGGACAAACCCTAATAACACAGAGAAGAGGATTCGAATTAGTGAACTTTACCGGTGTAACTTGTCTGGTTGAGAAGCGTGACAACTTGTAGGGAAGAACCTGTCAGAATCCCAAAAAGAAGCAGACCAGAACCTCTAACGGTGATGCAGAATTCTTCAGTAACAAAAGATTATGAATGGGGATACAGTCAGGAAATTGGATGTTTAGGTGTGTGTAAAAGGCCCAAAGGAATCTTTAGGAATCATCCAGAGAGACTGAAGAGCTCTGAGGAATATTGTTTGTAGTGTGTGTAAGTGGGGGAATGAATAAGAACCCCCCATAATAGGATTTAACTAGGGCAAATATGACTTCTCAACAAGCAGTAAAAGATGCTGCGCCAATCCTAAAATTATCAGAAATTTCCAGTATTGAAGCTGATTTATTTAATGCTTTTTGAAGGACTTATTGTGGTGATTAAGGGTTATGGTTACGATGGGTGGATTAAGTACACTTCAATACTTAAAGACTTATTTTACTGTCTTAGGTTTGGAAAGAAAAGCAATTTCACAAAACAATTTGAAACAACAAAGAACAGTTTATTGGACTGCAGTGTCAGTAAAACATCAGTGAAATCAGTACAGTAATTCCTTGCTATACTCAAATTTACCTGTGTGGAATTTCTTGAATACAATTTTAACTTGACTCTATACCATCGACAATTTGAATATCTGTGAAGTTAAGAACACTTATGAGCTTTGCTGTGTGCTGGCTTGAGATATGTCCGCAATTTCTCTCACAATCATAAATTGTTCTGCACATATTAGTACATTATTGCATTGGACTTTGATTATATTTGATAGCACACAAAAATGTTAGTGATAGGGATTTCCTAAATAAAAGTGATAGTCATTAGTGAAGAACTTGGAAGAAAAAATGAATGTGCTTGATAAGGTGCATGAAGTGCAAAAGTGCTGTTGGTCAGTTGTTTGGTGTAAATGATTCTACAATTCGGACATTAAAGAAAATCGAAGAAGCTATCAGAGTGAGTGTAAGAAGTGATACAACAACACTGTACGTGCCACGTGACCCAATCTACACGGGCATCATCACAGCAATAAAGGTAAGTATTATGTCAGAACCCCACTTAAAAACTATCAATACAATATTGTTTCCAAAATATTTTGCATTTTACTTTATTCTGATTCTATTATTTTACTTCATTGTAGGTCAAAAAATGAGGGATTTTAATAGTGACTACTAACCCTATTTTCCTATAAGGTCTTAAGTTTACCAACCACAAATTTACCTACAATGAAGGTAAATGTTTTCAGGAACATAAACCTTGTGATTGGCAAGGCATTACTGTATACAGTTCTGACTGCCCTCTATCTCAATAAAAAACTGAAAGGGACCTTGAACTGCCCCATGACCCTGAATTGGGTGAAGTGGTTGGAAAATGGATGGATCTTGAACAGGATTCACTTGCTGAAGGAATGTCTTCTCAATTACATTCAGGTATGTATAAAAACTGGTTTTGTAGGTCTAAATCACTTGAGTTAACTTTTGTTAGTCCATAGGTAAATATAACTCCATTTAAAAAAATAAGTGACAAAAATAATTTGTGATCACAAAGAAAGGAGTAAGTTTAATTGAGAACAGGACAGTGTTTGAAATCCTGAAATGTACTTACAAAGTCAGCTTATTTTTAAGTTAGACAACTTCAAGTTGTACTGTGAAAAGACAGCCAGTTCTTTAGGATGAAAATCACGAACATGCATTTTCATAACTGAAAATAGGATGGATGGAAAGGATCCTGTCACAGTGTAGAGACATTGACAAAAGGTTGATTGTAACTCTAACCTTTGCTATGAGTACATCCATAACTTAACATCTGAGCAAACATATACTATAAATCTGCAAGGGTGGAAATAATCTTATAGTTGTACAATCCTGAGAGACAGCAATAGGTAATAATTCCTCTGTTTTACAGCTATTAAACAGCCTAAATTATACTGCTTTATAGCACCAGCCTATTAAACATGAAATTATGTCAACCTTTTTAAATATTCACAGCTGCATAACCTGAGGAGTGTATTTTCATTGCAGTTGACTGTACTCTCTGTGAACAGATAGATTAAGTACAAATTAAAAGCTTTGAGAAAACTGGCACAACTCTAGTTCAGCAGTGAGGTTCTTATACAACCCTAGTACGATGTGCTGGAAGGTTTCTGCAATCCTGGCACAGATACAGAAGAGAAAGGCCTTTATTCAAAAATTCATTTGTGACTATACAGTAAATGCCAAATTCTTCAGGATTCAAAATTTTAACAGGTATCTGTTTATTCATTGTTTCCCATCATTTACATTGTGCATTTTACACCGCCAGTTAGGGGTAGAGGCAGAGGCAGAGCACAGCTACACACATTACATATTTAACCCATGGGTAACAGTATTTGCAAAAATAAATAAATCCCCTTTATGGATAATATTTTCATCTTTGTAATTATTTTAGTAAAAACATGATTTTAACATTTTTATTTTAACAAAGGTGCAAGGAACACAATCAATGTACTTTATTTTGTTCAAGCAAACGGACACATCTTTAATGCAAAATTCATCCTAAATCAGTCAAATTCAATTTCTGATAATTTTCTATTCGCAAAACTTAAGTGGATTTTATGTTGTTTACATAAAAAATGAACTCTTTGCTAGTTATGGCTGTATGAGATACTTGTTTAGCTTGATCACAGACAATAGTCTACACCAAATTATGTCCACTTTAGGACAATTTGCTTTGAGTGCACTTCTCTGTTTGTTTGCATGAGGAGCAGAGCTCACAGAGCATGTTACCCTCCATTTAGCTAGTTTCCCGAGGACCCAGATAGCCTACCTGTTGATATGTCATGTAGCCGAGATTTGTTTTCTCCACAATTAGCCATGGGTGTTTGGTTTGATGAAATTCAAATTGTTCAGTAGTCCTAGAGTTTCATTACTAAAATTAACATCTACTTCACTTTGAAATGAATTGTTTGGTGTATCCCACTTCTTATTTTCTACAGCCATGCTCTTAACTGTCATTAGTTGAAACTACATATCAGTAGCACAATTCACACACGCCGGCTGCTCAGGGCTTCCTTCATTTCTAGTTTCAATACTGGTTGAGATTCATCACAAACTGTTCTGGTACATTTACTGAATTAATCCGATTGAAGACTGATCTTCACTAGAAGCCTTTTTAAAGCTTTTTTCTGTCTGAAAATGTTTATTTTGACTGCTTCCCCACTTACACTCACACTGTAGACAGTGCTGCAATATACATTGGAAACATACACAGAAAGTCAGCCAGCGTAGGAAAGCACCACTCTATCTCCAGTAATGTTATTTAAGCTTCAAGTCTATTTAAAGGTATTTTTAGATCGTAAAAACACGTTTTTATGTCACAAGGAGCACATTGCTGTGCTTAGTGGTCCTGGAATACGAATAGTCTAAAAATGAAATGTGCTGGAGTTCCAGAGAGCTCTGGGAAATTAAGCATAGTTTTACATACTTCCACACATTTTTTTCCACTGTATCCTCCACAGAGATAACAGGAATCCAGATACAGAAAACCAAATCCTGTGGCTCTCAATTTCAGCAGATCACACAATAAAGGGTCCTGATTGATTCATACCAGGAGAGTATTCCAACTGAAAGGCAGGTAGCTTCGTATGGGTCAGACACTGCTGGCTAAAATTGTGTCTATACCATCAGCTTCTTCTGAATGTTCCCTAAGATGTGGCAAACAGCTTGCCATACCCTACTAATGCTGATTAGGATTGGCTGTTTTTAGTCCACTGTCCTGGATGCCTATGAGCTAGCAGTATTAGCAGTTGTGTTTTTTTCTTAAATGATATATTAAGCTCTTTCTGACGTGGGATCATAGTGTAAAAAAGGGTAAAGAATGGAAAGTACACAGGACAGAGGGTGTGTGTAGTCTCTTTCTCTTCTCAGGTGATGGTACAAAGGTTGTAGTGGTGCGGTGAGTTGATTGACAAGATTGTTGAGTGACTCCAACAGTGGGGAGTATGTGAAGACTCAGGTGAATGTTCTGTTAATTGGGAATTCTAGACTCAGCAGGTTTAGATAACACTCCCGATAAAAACCACCAATTTATTTGTATAATATTAGGAATATTAAAGTACAGATAAATAGCAAGGTTTCATACAATCGGTATTGCTCTTTGAAAACAGTGCTCATCAGCTCTTAAAATGTAATCCTGTAATTTAATATATGCTACCTAAACTGATAAAGTTGCTGCCCTGGAAACCAGAAGTGTCTCCAAGTTGGCAACATTACAAATTTGAAAGAAGGGGACTCTGACCTTTAACTTTCACATGAAACATCTTTATTGGCAGGGAGGTGTGGTTAAATAAAACACCTTTTCTGAGAACCAGTTAATGGACAATGGATATCACAACTACAGTGCTTGTTAGGTCTTAAAGTGTATGGGACTCGATTCTGAAAATGTGGTAAAACATTCCTCTATGTTGCTAGAACTCAGTAGCTAATTTGCCAAATCTTCTCTTTGTACTGGATGTCTCCTGACAAAAATAAACAAACATGAGAACTTAAGATCATAAAGTCAATGAACAGCACTAATCTCATATTGCAGGTTTAATTGCTGCAAAGTTTATTGAAGAGTATCACAATGTTTTCTGGAGAATCTTAGCGAACCACCCTCTACAACATGGTTAGGCAGTTTATTCCAACAACTCACAGCTCTTCCTAAAATTATACATTTCCAATATACCTTCTTAAAACAAGACAGTCCAATTAACATTATGTTAGCCAGATCTTTTCATATTCTGAATATGTAACCAATCTGAGCAACTCTACCACTCCACTGTAGAATGAAGAGTGTAAGTTATTTTTAATACTCTTGGTATATCATATTTATCAAATGGGAAATATCTGGTACATTAAATTCTCAAAAAGTTAAAAAACAGCATATCTACTGTACAGTATATAAACCAGGAATTTCAGTTTTATTTGTCACAAACCTGTTATGGAAACCACAATGAATAAAGTGACTAACAGCAGGTTCTCAGTTGACTCCAGCCAACCGACAGGCTATGATCACTCCTGATGAAAGCCTCCTGGAAATCAACAGTGTGATGGGTAGTATACTGGGACCTAAAACCAAGATCCACCTTGGAACATGGAATGTCCAACCCATGTATGAAACATCCAACACAAGTACTCAATAAAATACAATTTTGACATACTAGGGCCCTGGTGGACCAGTTCTGGTTATCAAATAACAAATGAGGGATCACAGATTCAAAAGAAAAAGCCAGATCCTTACTGGACTGGGAACCAGTGAGTGAAAGAATGATGAGAGTGCTCCACATTTTAGCTACAAGCCAGACATACTGCAAACTTACCATCTTGATCTGTTATGGTCCAACCAATGAAGCCGAGGAGCAGGAAAAAGATGACTGGCATGAACAATTGCAACTGGAGGTTTCCAAGGGTTCTGAACACAGCATACTCCTTATCATCAGTAATATGAATGACAAAGTGGGATCGAATAATACCAGCTATGAGAGAGCACTGGGTGGGTATCCATGGGTGCGGTGAACACAATAATGCAGAGTGCCTCATTGACTTCTGCATGAATAACTGTGTCATTGGTGGCACCATATTCTCACACAAGAACATATACAGTAGAGTCCCGATTATCCGACCTACATGGTGTAGCGGCGAGGCTTATTAATAAGGCAGAATTAAGTGTTTCTGAGCTTACCCAAATTAGGCCTCATCTCTCTGTTCATCTCTGTGGTGCAGCCACAGAGAAACTATTCATTCAGGCTGATTTAAGGTTTCCTTTGATAAAGTTTCCTAGGACAGCTCCAAAGAGGGATGCACTTAGCTAAGCCTGGCTACCTGGTCATCCATTGGCACCTATCTGTCTAGGGAGTGCCAGATGGACATCTGGACTGCATTCCTAAGTGTCAGGAGTAAGTGACTCATATCTCACCTTGATCAACCAATCAGGGACTGGTAGGGCTGGATAACCCACGTGGGACTCTGATGCCCATGGAACTTTCAGCCAATCAACGGCAACACAGAGATTCAGTAAGATTCAGAAGGGATTCAGGAGAATTCTGTGGACTTTTCTAAAGGGAATTCAAAGGAGAATTCCAGGGCAGGACGGCCCAGGAGCAGAAGGCTCCCAAGGGCAGGACATTCTCGCAGCGCGCCTCCTGACCATCCTGAGACTCAGCCCGGAAAACCACGGAACAGCCAGTGTATCCAAGTGCCAGAACTTTCCTTTGTTTTAAGAGCCTAGAGCGGAGATTGCCAGAGAGTAACCAGAGGATCCACCCGAGGTTAGCACCAGCAGCAGGCCTCGTGAACAGGTCAGAACTGTGGACAGCTGAACCACTATTCAGAACCAGCTCTTCATCATGAACGAACCGGTCCTTTTCCTGACTTGCTGGGACCCACAGTCATCTTTTCTCCTGTGCACAAACTTTGCTTGTTAAAGCCAACACTAACTAGCCGGTCAGTGAGCATCTGCAGCGCACTGTCGCAAGCCGCACAGCACAGCCTGGCACCGAGCCAGAGGGCGCGGATTGGACAGCAACAGCCTGCAACTGTTTCTTTGTGCCCGCAGGAGATCTGAATCCCCAAAGATTGGATGAGTATTCAACTTCAATGCATTACAGCTGGAGAATTCAATTGTTATCCCAACCAGTTGATATCAATTTAATTCCTAAGAGTTATGTACTTGTTTTGAGTATCTAATGTAGAAGTTATAACCAAGTTCATTTACGAAACGGTCTTAATGAATGATACACTGAACGTATGTCCTCTTGATGTGTAACACTTCGTAACTGACTGAATATATATCTTTTGTATTCTGATAACCCTCTCGATAAGATATGTTAGGTTTATATGCATATTCTATGTATTAATAAATGTATCCTCGTGTATTAGTACCTGTGTGTGTGCGTTGTTTGAGTTATGTCGCATGGTTGGATTCTAAAGACATCAAAAGAATCAACTTTGTGATTTACTGCTACAATTAATAATTGTCTCAGTAAATGCCCAAGCCCTACAGAACTGGTGCCTTCAGAGAGCCACTACATTTACATTTTGGCTATAAAAACGTTACATTTTTGGCGTCCCTGGTCCGGCTATGATTACAATGGGAAGGACAGAATGTTGGATAATTGAAAATGTTGGATAATGTGGAAACTGAGTAGACAAATCATAGATTAATGGAAGTGCAGGATAAGTATGAAATCTGGATTTTTAATGTACTGTAATACTAAAATGATAGATTATAGAACTATTGTTAGTTATTATTTAAAGAAATGAGTGATCTGAATATGTTTCCCAGATGTGCTTCTCTTCCTTGCGGCACGGTCTCTCCAGTGTCTTAGGAACATGACATCAGTAGCAGTTGCCTCCTCTTGTTGTTCAACGTAAGATAGTGCCGCTTCGAGAGCCTTGACCACTTTGCTATGATTGATTCCTTCAGATTTGACTTCTGCCAATGTAGACCCAATGCTGTCATCTTCATCAATTTCATCGTCATCCCGATTCACCAAAGCTATTATGTCATGATCCATCAATTCTTGTTGCTCATCCTTCTCCATCCATGTATATCATCATCATTTGTTTTCTCACAGCCTGGAATTTGTTGTAATGATGGTAGCAGGTTTTCACAATTTTTTTGCAACAATTCTTGTGCATTTTCATCTTCCGAAAGCAACTTCCTCCATGATCTTCCCAGAGTTTGTGGTTTAATTTCTTCCCACGATTGTGCAATCCAATAAACAACATCTTTTATGCTTATTTTCCTTAATTTATCAAGCACACCATCTTCATTGTCCATCACTTCAATGAGTGTAGTTAAAAGCTTGCAACAACATTTTTTCTTTAATGCTTCAAGCACACCCTGGTCCATAGGTTGACACAATGAGGTGATATTAGGAAGACAAATTACTCTAATGTCCCCACTGCTAAATTCATCCATGTAGAATTAAATGGTGCATTATCGATGATAAAGATTGCTTTTCTTGGTAGGGTTAACGGTTTCAAATATTGTTCTACTGAAGGAACAACTTAATTGAAAGACTAGTCATAGAATTCATCTATGCATTCTTCTGGTTCTTATATGAAACTTGCAAAGAAGTACAAACTAATTTTATTAAAGTTTTTGTTGCTTTCCAATAAATACAAGTTTTAGTTTGTGATTGCCAGTAGTTACTACAGGCTAGAATCGTGACTCTTCCCTTACTTCGTTTATACCTAGGAGTTGAAGCTTTAGTCTGGGAAGATAACGTTTTTGAAGGTAGCATTTTATAGTTTAAGTTCAGATGGATTGCTGCGTCAGCATGCATAGGCTGCAAAGGAATTAGTAATAGGTTTATCCCATGCTGAAAAGAGAAGAAAGAAAACACAACGTTTCGGCCATGGAGCCTTCTTCAGGTGTGAGAAAGACAGGGCAGTAAGCAATGGTAATGTAGCGGGAGAACAAAAGCTGGGAGAGAGGAGGAGAGAGGGGCTGGAGCCAATCAGGAGGTGTGAAGTCAGGATCCGTGAAGTGAGGTGTGAAATGAAACCTACAATGAATAGAGAGAATTTAGAAGAAAAGTAGTCTGTCATTAAGAGAAGGGGGAAGGTATAATAATAATAATTGCTTACACTTATATAGCGCTTTTCTTGACACTCCTCTCAAAGCGCTTTACAGGTAATGGGGAATCCCCTCCACAACCACCAAGGTGCAGCATCCACCTGGATGATGCGACGGCAGCCATAGTGCGCCAGAACGCTCACCACACATCAGCTATCAGTGGGGAGGAGAGCAGAGTAATGAAGCCAATTCATAGATGGGGATTATTAGGAGACTATTATTGGTAAGTGCTAAT